ACCAGTGCCCTGGGGGAGAAAGAGAGGAGAGGAACAGGAGAGGAGAGGAATGGGAGAGGAGAGGAATGGGAGAGGAGAGGAATGTGAGAGGAGAGGAACGTATTGCTGAGTCGCCTCAAGAGCAACCATGCCTGTTATGCCCTCCACTCCACGAATGCCCTGGGGAGAAAGAGAATGGAGGAGAGGAGCGGCGGGGGGACCATGGCGGAGAAATCGATGAAAGCCTCGACTGGGATGTTGGCGTATCCGCTGAGATAGTTGACGATGTAGTGCGGCATGCGAGGGGAAGGCAGCCCGAGAGGGGACTTGATGGCCATGCCTGTTATGCGCTCCACCAGTGCCCTGGGGAGAAGGAGAGGAGAGGAACGGGAGAGGAGAGGAACGGGAGAGGAACGTATTGCTGAGGCGCCTCACGAGCAACCATACGTGGGATGCGCTCCACCAATGCCCTGCAAAGGAACGAGAGATAGGGGGATGAGAAAGCAACTGGTGGTAGAAAGAGAGATAGGGGGATGAGAAAGCAACTGGTGGTAGAAAGAGAGATAGGGGGATGAGAAAGCAACTGGTGGTAGAAAGAGAGATAGGGGGATGAGAAAGCAACTGGTGGTAGAAAGAGAGATAGGGGGATGAGAAAGCAACTGGTGGTAGAAAGAGAGATAGGGGCGCGCGCGCACGCGCACACAAACACACACACACACACACACACACACACACACACGCACACAAACACACACACACACACACACACACGCACACAAACACACACACAGTGACACACACACTCACTCACTCACGCCCACCTGTCAGCATCCTCCACTTGCATGCCGAGCGTCCCTAAGGTGAGGCTCTACAGGCCCATGCTCCAGGCCCTAGGGTAGGATTGTAGTGCACCCACACCCACGCGCACACCCACACCCACACCCACACCCACACCCACACCCTCACCCACACCCACACCCACACCCACACCCACACCCACACCCACCTGTCGCTGTCCTTCACGAGCATGAGCACTGTCCCTAGGGTGAGGTAATCCAATCCCATGGCGGTGGTGGCGTCTTTGTATCGCATCAGACTGTTGTTATTGGCACACCCCGCCACGCCCCAGTAGGTCAGGTTGGTGCTGCTGGGGGGGCCGTACCCGTTGAACACACGCAGGATTGCTGCCATTTGCTGCTCACACACACACACACAGAGATACACACACATGCGCAACGGAGTTGAGCAATGCTGGTTCGAACCCCTTCACTCCCCAAGAGATCAGGTTGGTGCTGCTGCGCGGGCCGTACCCGTTCAGCACGCGCAGCAGCGCCGACATTTGCTGCTCATGCACACACGTGCGCACACGCAACGAGGTCAGCAGGGGTGATGCACATCCCGCCATGCCCCAATAGGTCAGACTCGTGCTGCTTCTCCACGGGTCGTACCCGTTCAAAACGCGCAGCAGCGCTGACATCTCCTGCACGCACACATACACACACACACGTACACACACACACGCACACATGCACACGCACACGCACACACGCACACATGCACACGCGCACATACACATGCTCACGCACGCACACGCACACACGTGCGCACACACGCAGACATACACACGCACAACGAGTTAAGCAAAGCCGTCTCCCCTCCGCGCCGCCCCTCTGGGTTCCGCACCCCGGGGCGGGGGGGGGGCATCAGCGCCGTGCGGGGCGGTGGGAGCGCGCCGCTGCGCGACGGAGAGAGCTCCGAGGCGGAAATTTAAGGTCGAATCAAAAGTCGCGTCGCCACTGCGCGACGGAAAGAGCTCCAGGACACCAGACGGGATGTCGTTGACAGTCGTGTCCACGTGTCCCCGTGTCCCCCGTGTCAAGCGCGCCGATAATTTCTGAAAATCAAGACCTACCTGCCACGAACCGAGCTCGCCACACGAGGCCGGGCTCGCCACACGAGGCCGGGCTCGCCACACGAGGCCAGGCTCGCACAGACCAAGTCCTCACTCATGGGGATCTCACGTTCGGATAATTTCTGAAAGTCAAGGCCTACCTGCCACGAGGCCGAGCTCGCCACACGAACGTATAATTTCTATACGGGACCTCCCGAGCTCGCCACGGGACCTCACGTTCAAATAATTTCTGAGAATCCCGTGCTCTACCTCCTTTGCGTCGCTATCCGTCGCTATGGGTCGCCATGCGTCGCTATCGCTACGCGTCGCACCTGCACGCGCGAGACGGACGAGAGCACGCGCTGGTAGAGGTAGCGCACGCGCAAGTGGCACCACCCGCGCATCGCCTCCTCCCGCGGATTGGCGGCCTGCGTGTGCGCGAACCACACCACCCACGCGCACAGCCCCGCCCATCCCGCCACCCACACCACTCCCAGCAGCGCCCTCCCCACGCCCCACGGCGGGCCCCGTGACGAGAGGCGCCACGGCTGGCGCATTAGACGTCTGTAGCTTGGATTCAGGATGAAGAGTGAACAGCGAAATGAATAGAACTGAGAATGAGGAGAGCATAGGCGGGGAACTAGTGGTCTCAGTTATGTAAGACTATGTGTAAAAGGTTAGAATTGGTCGCCTTTGATTGGGCGACTGCTGCAGTGCTGGGCTAGTGGGCCACGCGCGCCGCATGGCAGCGAAGTGAATGGCACTGTTCTACAGGGCTGCGTTCTGTTGGCGCATAGCCTGTGCGAAACCCTAATGGGGAATACATGATGCATCATGACATGATGCGCAGTCGAATCGCGGGCATTTGCCCTGCCCATGATGAACCCAATCCCAATAGCACTTGACCACGGGAAAACGCACGCACAAGAACTCGCGGCTCGGCAAGATTCGGAAATTTGACGGGTGGTTGGGAAGCTTCGACCTCCGACTTGCACCCCCGATTTCCGGGATCCCTTCTGTTGGCGCATTAGGGGTACTTGGGACGCGTCCCATTTTCTCCCTCGATCAATTCTGCCCTAGATCGATCTAGAAACAGTTACAGCTAAACTACAGTTTCTCAAATTACAGGGTAACCTGATCTTGATGGCACATGCGAATGTACAGTTAATAGTGCCCAACGATCTTGTCACCTCCAGATGTAGCGTGATCGGTGTGTGCCCAACGACCTTGTAATCACCTGCACACACCGATCTGAAAACTCATGCGCGAGTCCCAAGCTCGTGCGCGCTCTAGGTGACAACATCAATCGATCGCCATCGCATAGTCGAATACAGGGTAACTATATTTTGATATGGCTAGCGATTGTCACCCAACCCTATATCCAACTGCAATCCCAAGCTTGTCATTTGGGGCTCGGTACAGATATGGTGATCGAATTATGCTGTCACCACCTACCGATCTTGCCTCGATCCTGCAATCGGCGTGCCCATTCTTTTTTTTTTCCAGCGATCTCGTGATCGATCGAAGAAGGGGACGCGTCCTTAGCCCTAACGATGAATATTCTAGGGTCGCGCATGACAAGACTTAAAGCCCACGTCGAGCCCCCCAACTCGTTATTGTGTCCCGAACCTGGTAGCATTTGCTGAGCGCCCATAGGTAACAGAATGCGGAACAACTCGTGCGCTTAGAGGTTACTTCGAAGCGTCTCTTGGGCAAAAACATCAAACGGCTCGTGCGAACCCTATCCGCCCATCTCCTGGGAATAAGGTGACGCACAAACAATAACAGGCAGATATCAGCGCCCATTTTTGGGACACATAACTATGGATTACTCCACACAAAATTACACAAGACGAGAGGCGAGGGCGAACCATACGGTTGAAAATTTGTGAGTGGTTGAGATGAAAAATGTAGAGCATCTTAGGTAGCCAGGGCAAAATGGTAAAAAAAAAAAAAATGCGTTGAGGCCGATAGGGAGTTGTCTCGTTCGAGAATAACGCATCCTGCAGTGCTTGTGCAGAAGGCCACCAGAACTGTCAGAGTTATATTGTTATAACTGCATGTATTTCTAGCTGTAATGTAGTTATCCTAATTTCTTGCTAGGTGGTGTACCCCTTTTTCCTACCCTATTTGTACTTCACTCTCTATAGTGAAACCCCCTCTTCTTGCTCTCCAACTGTCTCGATAGTCATGCCTAGCCTAAACTCTAGCATGGCTCCTAAGCTTGCTCCTACACTATAGCTACTATTCCAATAAGAATGTGCCCCGATGTACAACAAACGAAGCCACCCAACACTGTAGCAAAAAAAAAACAAACAAACAAACAAACAAACACATAACTTTGGTGTTCTTTATAGTCATTTTTCTGCCAGTGGCGAAAATATGACGAACGCTCGCGAAATGAGATGGTGTGAGGTGTGTACCAAGTGTCGAAAAAGATGACGTGGGTGTGTACCAAGAACGCGCTTGACAAGGCTTGGAGCCGGAGAAAATCGTTACTGTGACCTAAACGTCTGGTGCGGAAGTTGTGCACCCATTAGTCATGCGTGCAAAAAAACGATGAACTGACTGCGCGCTTGAAACTTTCGACGACCTTGGTTTCACATGCAAACCTCCCGCATAGCCTATGCGAGTCCCATCCGCTCGTCTCCCAAGGGGCGCGCAAGCTGTTCAGGGCAGCGAAAAACGCCCCGGAAAGGTAAGATTTTGGCGAGTTTTTGCACCCTTCGAAGTGTTGACTGTTGGATCCAGGTTCCAATTCGTATAAATTTTTTTGGGTCGGTGCTGCTCATCCATGCTGATGCTTCTCAAAATGTTTGGGTCTGCCCTCGCATAAACACCCTCGGGCCTGCCTCACAGATACGTCGCGCCCGGGTCAAATTCTTTGTGGTAATTCTTAAGGGGTGCACTCTTGCGCCGAACCCTCCTAGAGTATTATTAGTGCGAGGCTGGCGCATTACTATTGCACCAACAGATTGCAGCCCAGGCTATTGATGCCGTCGGAAGAATGTGCCGCGATGCTACCAAAGCGTTGACTTTTTCAGGGGCATCCCAAAATATTGTGTTGGTATGGGACCCAGCAAACTAGCGACCAGGCAAGTCGACCTCCAGCGCAGCAACGGGGTGACCCGCCAGCAGAGCAAGTTGACGATCTGGCAATGCAGTTGGGAGGCGGCTTGTCATCTCTGCAAGTCGATGACCTGCCAGTGCTGCATCTGCGTGGCTTGCCAACGCTGCAGCAGGGCGGCTAGCCAGCGTTGCAAACGTAGATGACAATGACACATGCGCACACCCGTTTCGCAAGCGCTTGTAGATGGACAAGCATGTTGTGCCTCGTCCCGCCCATCGCGTAGATGCCGAGTCAGCTACTTGCCAACAATCACGCCAGATGCTCCACGTCGACCTCGGGATACCGACCCGTGGATCGACTTCACCAAAGCCCACAGAGGGGAAGCTCGCATATCTGCCGAATTTCGGAATCGGACAGCTTTGCACGGTCGGTTCGACGCTGCTCCGTCGAGCAGCACTCCTCAACGGGCTCGTCAACCAGGTCCCGACGAGCAGGGCCTGCTTGACCACCACTTTCGTCGACCAGGTAGTTCGGTCGATTGGGCAGCTCCAAAGTCGGCGTCGCCGTGGCGGGCTATAGGAGCCCTCCAACTGCTGCACATGCTCGTCGACCGCCCTGGTCGACACCGTCTGCCGACCTTCCTGCGTCGGCGTCCCCATAGGTCGACAAACCCCTCTGTCGACCACTTAGGTAAAATTCGGCCACCGGTCTCCTTCGTCGACAGCTTCGTCAAGGTCCCGCGCAGGTCAACCAACCTCGTTGACCTGCTCACCCAAGTAGGCGTCGACTTCTGCGGAAAGTCGGCCACACCTCCCGTGCACCCAACTGCGTAGTCGCCTTCGCCCAAGCGAGTGCGGGGCCAAATCCCGTCAATACCCCCCTGCCTCGCTCACGCTTGGGCACCCCACACACAAGGTCTAACCAAAACCCAAGGGATAGAATACACAGGGAAGCTTGTAGTTGGCGTGCATACTGTCAGAACATTATGTTTCTCTAGTCTGCAGTGGGGTACTCTGTAGTGAGTACAACCCTGTTAGGGTTTGTTATATGTATCCAACTGCTTGCTAGTGCAATCATCCTTTCCTTTCTCAATTTCTCTCGTCAATCTTCTCACATGGTATCAGAGCGAAGGTCTCGGGTTCGAATCCCAGTGTGTGCACTTCGGGCATCCCAGTGCGGGGGGGTGTTAGAGGTCCACTGATGATCCCCAATTGATCCTAAGGAAGGGTTACAGGCATGTTGGCCTGGGGGGTTATGGGTGCACCGACCCGCTACTTAACAAGCCATTTTATCCCAATGGTCTAGTGGTTGGGATTCTGGCATGGAATAGAGCAATTTCGATCCTAAGGGCCCACCACGTCTTCAACTTTTTTTTTTTCCTCACCTTCCTGCCGCGCGCGTCGCGCCTACCCTTAAGGCCCCGTAAGGCCCCGTCAGGCCCCGTTTACGGCCCCGTAAGGCCCCGTTCACGGCCCCACTTACGGCCCTGTACGGCCCCTTAAGGCCCCGTCGGCCCCGTTTACGGCCCCGTCGGCCCCGTTAGGTCCCGTAAGGCCTCGTTTACGGCCCCGCTTAAAGGCCCCGTAAGGCCCCGTAAGGCCCCGTCGGCCCCGTTTACGGCCCCGTAAGGCCCCGTCAGGCCCCGTTCGGCCCCGTAAGGCCTCGTTTACGGCCCCGCTTAAGGCCCCGTAAGGCCTCGTAAGGCCCCGTCGGCCCCGTTTATGGCCCCGTAAGGCCCCTTAGGGCCCCGTTAGGCCCTGTAAGGCCCCGTTTACGGCCCCGCTTAAGGCCCCGTAAGGCCCCGTCGGCCCCGTTTAAGGCCCTGTAAGGCCCCGTAAGGCCCCGTCGGCCCCGTTTACGGCCCCGTAAGGCCCTGTTAGCGGCCCCGTGAGGCCCCGTCAGGCCCCGTAAGGCCCAGTCAGGCCCCGTTAGCGGCCCCGTCAGGCCCCGTCAGGCCCCGTAAGGCCCTGTCAGGCCCCGTCAGGCCCCCACCCACCCTATTGCGGCCCTGTTCCGGCCCTGCCCCGGCCCTACCCCGACCTGTCGCGGCCCTGCTGCGGCCCTGTCGCAGCCCTGTCCCGGCCCCTTCTACGGCCCTGCTCCGACCCGGCCCCGGCTCTGCCCCTACCCTGCCCCTGCCCTGCTCCTGCACTGCTGCGGCCCGGCCCCGGCCCTGCCCCGGACCTGTCGCGGCCTCGCCCCGGCCCTGTCTCGGCCCTGCCCCGGCCCTGCCCCGGCTCTGCCCCAGCCCTGCCCCGGCCCTGCGCCGCCCCTGTCCCGAGCCTGTCACGGCCCTGCCCCGACCCTGTCGCAGCCCTATCGTGGCCCTGCCCCTGCCATGCCCCGACCCTGCCCAGGCCCCGCCCCCCTCATGCCGGTCGTGGCGCGCCAGGGGCCCGTGCACCGCCCCCCCCCCCCCCCTTTTCCCGTCGCCTTGCGTGGCGAGAGGGGGACGCGCGTCGCCCCTTCTTCCGCCTGCTCTGGCGCCCTGGGAGGCCGCGCGTCGGCCCCCCGTACTCCCCCCCCCCCCCCCCCCCCCCCTCAGGTCGCCTCAACAGGC